AGGGTAATAATCTTGGCATTTTTGGCGTGACAGAAACTTGGTTAAAGCCTATTGTTTCCACAGAAGCTATACAAATACCAAGTTATTTTTGTTATAGGAGTGATCGTCCTTGTAATAGAGGAGGTGGTGTTGTAATGTATGTTTCTCAGAATATTAAACATAAATTTGTGTGCAGAGGAAGTTCTTATGGAGTTGTTGAATATGTTTTCTGCGAGGTAATTGTAAGCAATTGTGTGTTTCTTGTTGGTGTGGTTTATTTGCCACATGGCGATATTGTGGCTTTTGAAAATGAAATTTCTGATCTTGTTGTTAGGTACTCAAATGTTATTATTATGGGAGATTTCAATAACAATATGTTTGATCTGCAGCGAAGTTTAGTTGTAAGGGAAATTTGTAGCAGATTAAATTTATCTGTTGTCCACAACTCAATGCCCACACACGTCGATATTGCGCATACCTCTACTTCTTTGTTGGATTATTTTTTTGTGTCGTGTCTGAGTTTGGTAGCATGTTCAAATCAGTTTTTGTGCCCTGGTATTTCTGATCACTCGTTCATCTTTCTATCAATTAATGTTCCCAGTTTTTGTGTGCAGAGTTTTTATGAATATGCAGATTTCAGTTCTGTTGATCCTGTGGCGCTTTCCAGCGCCTTTGATACATACAACTTTGGTGAGCTTTATTCTGTGGCAGATGTTGATGCCCAGCTTGATATATTGAACTGTGGTCTTCGGCACTTGTATAGTGTAGTTCCTGTTAAAAGGAGATTTTGTAAAATTAATAAAGATGACTGGTTTAAGTCTGCTGAAATTCGGTATCACTTGTCTCTTCGTGACATTTCTTATAGGTCCTATCTTCGGGACAAAAGTGTTGAAAATTGGAAATTGTTTTGTCGCTGTCGTAACCGAGCCAAAAAAATTATAAGAAAACTAAAATTTATTGCTCATAGGGATATGTTTTCTAATAAATCCACAAAGGAAGTGTGGTCAATTTTAAATAAAAACGGTTTATGTACTGATGACAGAGAAGTCGGGAATGTTGATGTTGAAGCTCTGAATTCAGCTTTTGTTTCGAATCAATCCGTAGATGTTTTTGATGATTCTTGTATTCCTGTTGATGCTTTTGATGGTTTTTCCTTTCGTGCAATTGATTATGCTGAGATTGTTGATGCTTTCAATAAAATCAAGTCCACGGCAGTTGGTTATGATGGATTTCAGCTAAAATTTCTAAAGCTTTTTTTTCCCCTTGTTGGTCAATTTTTGTTGCACGTTGTCAATTCTATGTTAACAATGTCTGTGTTTCCAGAGATGTGGAAAATTGCAAAAATAGTGCCTATTCAAAAAAAGAATGGTGATTCTAGTGAGTATAGGCCTATATCTATAATGCCGATTCTTTCTAAAATGGTTGAGTATGTCATGAAAGATCAAATGCTAGTTTATATTGGTGAAAATTCTGAGAGCCTATTACATGAGAGCCAGGTTGTTGTATGGATTTAGGAGTAATCGCGGCACTGCATCTCTTCTTGTTGGATTGACTGACAATATACTGTATGTCATTTGCATTTGCTGATGACTTGCAGATTTTGTTTAAAGGAGAATATGTGTTTTTAGATGTTTTGCAGTCCTCTATACATTTTAATATCAATGTGTTAGTAACGTGGTTATCTGCAAACGGACTCTCAATTAATACACGAAAGAGTAAAGCTATGTTTTTTGGGAATTTGCAAGAGAATTCAGTAAATGTTTCCATTTATAATAATTCTATAAATGTTGTAAGCTCTATGAAATGTCTTGGTTTGTTTCTTGATAGTAGTTTGGTGTTTGATGTGCATGTTAATTCTTTGGTGTCCAAGGTAAACTTTATTTTAAGAAAGTTGTACTCTTTGGATATGGCTCCACCTAAGAGCATTAGAATTCAATTGGCCCATGCATTGATTATGCCAAATTTTTTGTATTGTATTGAGATTTTTGGGGGTTGTTGTGGATATGTATTACGTAAAATTAAACTCTTGTTCCATAGGGTTATGCGATATGTATATTGTGTTAAACGTCGTGATCACATTTCTCCTTACGTTAAAGAGTTCCTCGGTTGTACCTTTGAAAGTTTTGTGAGTTTAAGGTCAATGTTGTTGTTCTATAAGGTATTTAAGTTGCAGACTCCTTCCTCTGTAGTTGATTTGTTTATGTTTTCTAGATCTGTTAGAAACATACAAATACTTGTTCCGCGTTTGTGTCCTTTATTGGAAAAAGCCTTTTTTGTACGAATTGCTAGAATTTTTAACACCTTACCGCCTTCTCTTAAAACTTTTAACTCTTCCTTAAAATGTTATCGAACTCATTTATACGATTACTTCAACCTCAATTCATCTTAAATTCATGGGTTTTGCTTATTTGTTTGTGTTTTTATTGCATAACTGATTTCAACATTTAAATAAATATAACTATAATAAATTATATTTTTTTTATTGATAATTGTGATATAATAATAAGATATTTGAACCTGTAAATTGAATTTAGTGGTTGAGAGTAGATATAATATTGAAGTCCTTTGCCCTATGTGATAGGTCGCTACATCAAATAATGGAATAATAATAATAATAAAAATGTTTTTGAAGTACAATGGTTCTGATATCATTAAGCTAATGCATTGTTAGTTTTAAGCTTTTGGAGTAGTCCATATTTTGTTGTTTTTTGCATCGCTTTTGGCCCTTTGGGCTAGATTCTCGTTTATGAAATAAATTGAAAAAATTGAAATTGAATTGAAATCATTCTAGACCTAATACAGTGCACTATTCCAAATTTCGTACAAATCGAAAGATAGGGTATTTGGTGGAATCGAAGGATATATAGGGACTTTGGTGCACCATTTACATTAAATCAGACGAAAATATATATGGGAGCTATATCTAAATCTGAACTTATTCCAACAAAACTTCGCATACATCAATCTGAATCTAATTCAGTAAACTGTGCTAAATTTTGTTTCAATCGGACCAATATTGGGAGTTTGGTGCATTATTTACATGGAATCGGAGGAAACTATATATTGGAGCTATATCTAAATCTGATCCGATTTCAACGAAACTTGGCATATATCAAACCAAGCCTAATTCAGAACGCTGTGCACAATTTTGTCTTAATCGAACAAATATTGGCAGTATGGTGCTCCATTTACATAAAATCGGGCGAAACTATATATGGGAGCTATACCTAAATCTGAACCGATTTTCTCCAATTTCAATAGCATTCATCAGTGGGCCAAATAAGTGACATGTGCCAAATTTCATCCAAATCCTATCATAAATGCGACCTGCAATATGTTCACAAAAATGCATTAACCGAATTGAAACTATATTAGGTGATGGAAAATATATCTAAATCCGAACCGATCTACATAAACCATAACTTTTTTACACAATTCGCTAACTATCGGACAGTCGTACTGTTTTTGGTGTACTCTTTACCTTAAATCGTATGATATATATGTGTTTAGGGCTTAACAGATGCTCAACAATTTCAAAATTGTTCCGTGTTGGACTAATTATGTATATCTCAATTCGACGCTTCCGAACCATAGTATTCTAAGTCTGAAAAGTGAGTTTTTCAGTAGAAGCTTTCAAAATATGGAAGTTTCTTTAATCGTACGTGCCATGCTAAGTACATTTTTGCTTATAACTTTGGTTTGGATTGGATTGGCCGATGATTAAATTAAGGACCGTAGTATCTAAAAAACGTAAAGAACTTTAAAACATGCTAAGTCGACTTAGCATACTATGGTTCGGAGACGTCGAATTGTATATTAAAAAATTGTTATAAAATCGTTTCTATTCATAATACACAAGTTTAGTGTAGGGCATACAAATGTTATAGACACCAGGACACCAACGATAGCTGCTGCTACAATCATGTGTCGTTTCCACGACAGAGGGGTCTACGATCCGAAACGACCCGAGTCTTACTCGGCCAAGGTCTGTCACCTCAGCCCGTTGTGTAAAAGCAATAGGGCTGCTACAAAAACAACAATCATGTGTCGATTTAAGCCAAAAATTACTCTTACATCCAACAATGCTTTCCTATGGCGCAAAAGCCAACTTCAGAATAACAAATCTTAGAAGTTTGCTGTACCATTTATTTCAAATCCGACGAAGTTATTTATATAAGTGAGTCGATTTCAATCAAACTTAACATACTAACATTATTCTAGACTCATTTCAGTACATTGTGCAAATTTTCGTGCCAATGGGGCAAGCGTAGGGTCTTTATATATATATATATATATTCTGAACCGATTTCAACATAACTTCGGTCAGATCATATATTCACATACACTATCTTTGAAAACGCACAAAATACTACATTTTGTTTATATGTCAAATACCTTAAAAACATTTATACCAATCACAATTAAAAATTGTTTCTCAATTTTGTAAATTATTATTGCAAGAAATATGTTTCCACATATACTAAAGGTAAGTTATCGCATTGGACGCCAAGTAAACAATTCAATGGACATCATGAAGATCTCTTCCATTACCGATTATTTTTATTACAATGTTTTTACTTCTAGCCTCTAATTCAATCTGCTTTCAAACGACCCATGCTGATGCAGTCCCAACGTTTCAAATCAACATTGCAACCCAAAATGATCCGCTTACAACAAAAATTCCAAGAAAAGAATAATATACCAATACATCTTAAAGGTGGAGCAAAGGACAAACTTTTATATCTAACAACAATGGGTTTGACAGGATGTGGCCTGGTCTATTCGTTGGTATTTTTGGCAGGATATATAATATTTGATTGAATAACATTTGGGTTTCATTTATTATTTAGAAAATATTAAGTCTTTTGTTTATTATTTGTAACACGTTTTTTGTAATTTGCTTAACAAATGCATTAAATATTTGGACACACACACAGAGAATTAGAAAAAAATAACTAATTAAAAATATTTGATTTAAATTTAACTTACAAGTAGTACAACCCTCCCATATTTAATTCGTACTAGCTTTGCGTTTGTCCATCAATTTTGTCGATAACACTCTTTAGGCAATCCTTAGTGGATACCTTCTCTAAATTGCACATTTTCGTTAAATCCATAGTGGAAATTTGTTCAATCATTTCTTTGATACGTTCCTGTTTAATGATCGCCTTTACCGATTGTTTGGTAGAGATGACTTTTTCGGTTTTGATGGTTGGTTTTTCTTGAGAATCATTTTCAATGTGTTTACCCTTCGAACGGAAATGTTGTTCAATGAGACGTCGTATTTTTAATTTCGTAGCTTTCGTTTTACGATTTACTTGGCCCATAGCTAAATTCCGTAATTCATCGAAATTAATTTCTTTTTGTGGTGTTTCAGCGGTTTCTTTGGAATTGTAGAGATCTTGTTCTTCATAGGACTCAACGGTTGATACGATTGCATCATTATCATCTTCTAAGCTAACTGGTGAGGAGAGTAATGAACTTATTTCGGGATCTAAGTTAGATGGAGGTTGTGCTAGTTCCTCATCATTTTGATTGTCTTCTGTTGTTTCTTCATATTGATTTATTTCTTCATTACTCAACCTATTGTCTTTTTCTTCGGTTTCTTTGTCTACATCATCATCATCTATGTCATTAGTTTTCTTTAATTCCTCGAAGGAATCATTTTTCTTTATTTCCTCTGTGGAAATATTTTCCTTTGTTTCTTCGTTGGAAACATTTTCCTTTACTCGTTTATACGATTTCCTCACTTTCTTCATTGGTTCTTGTGATGTATTATCAGGTATTTCCTGTGAAACTATTGCCTTCTCTTCATGTTCTATATTTTCCACATTGTCCGATTTTAGGTCATCACTTTGCTCCACATTCTCCTTTATTTCTGTTCGAGGTTTCTTCTTTTTCTCCTTTTGTTTTTGTTCAACATCTTCCTTTTCCAAAACCTTTAACGTTTCCTCCTCGACTTCTTGAGGTTCCCTTGGAGCTTCCTTAGTAACTTCTTTGGCCTTTTTAGTTTTCTTTGTGGGCGTTTCTAAGCTCTCCTCAACAATCTCCTCATTTACAGACTTCTTTTTCCTCTTTTTACTTTCTTTCTTGCTTACACTTGGCTCCTTGCCTGGTTTCTTCTTCAATATAGCCAAACATGCCTTGGTTTTTATTTTAATTGGCATAATCGAATTATATTGTATACCAATATTATTGAAACAATCCACAAATTCCACAGTATCAAAATCTTCCTGAAGCGATGACCATAATTGATTGTTGAATTTATTTTTAGCTTCCACAATTAAGTGGGTGTACTCCAAGGACTCTTCTTTGGTATAATTCATTTGCTCCTTTTTGCAGTAACTGCAATTATAATAATGAGAACACATTAATATTTAATTTTGCTCATTTTAAATGTTTTGCCATACTTCCAATTATCGTGTAATTGTAAAAATCTCGATACTCCACTTTGTGCGGCCAAATTAGAGATGTGCACCGAAACATTTGAGGATCCAGCCTCAAGTGTATGTAGGCGTGTTATAGCCACTCCACCAGGATAATTAGTACCGGATACAATTAGTAGGAATAATGTCACACAAACATTCAATAGTAAATGTCCTCCAGCACATAGGGACAAGAATCCATGCCACAATGATTTGCCACTATTCGACCAACTAGAAATAAAATGGAGGATTATTACAGAGTTAAATATATAAAGTAGAAAATTCCGTAATATATATATATATATATATATAATTATAACTTCACTTCATTATAACGGTGACCAGGAATTAATTACTATCCAAAAAGGTTTAAACTCCAGTGGATAAATATATTATCAAACAGTATGACAAAAGCCAGACGACTTACAAAAAAATCTCGGTCACGTCTCATGAGTAAACGTATGATTTTCCTCTCCTCATGAAGTTGGTCAATTGGTATTATGGGAAGACATTCGCAAATCAGGTCAGGAGGTCATAAAATATATTGTTCAGCACTACAGATGCTGCCAATCATCTCTTGAAAATGTTCGATTGGTATCCTGAGGAGATATTCGCAAATCAGGTCAGGAGGTCATGTATCTTTTTCAGCACTTCAAATGCAGCCAACGAGTGAATTGAGAGGGTTATGTTCCTATTTCTCATCTTTTCGCAAATACCTCCAAATAATTAGAGATTGAAATTAGTTTACCTATCCCTCCACCACTCTGGTTGGCTCCGGTGTTGCTTATATAGGCGTACTCCGAGGAATATATTCAGCCTGTATTCTCGAATTGCTTCCTCTGAATCTTTGTGAATACAATTCAATCATATTTGAGGCTCCCTTTTTTGTATCTTGTTTTGTTGATGTGCCTGAAGCATCATCGTCTCCTCATGTAAGTGGTCTATTGGAGTCACGAGAAGATACCATGTTTTTTCCATTGCATTTCAATTACGTTTCCGGATCACATTGAAGAGAGGATGTAAACAAGTTGTCTTTATTAGTTCCAAAAATACTGCCGGCCAGAGTCTTGAGAACCTTGGTCATGCTTTTGACCTTATCGGAAATTCCTGTTACATGCGCGAACGACTTATATAGGCTACTGAATGTAATTCCCCAGAAACTGGGGATAAATAGATGTTCGAGAGTGGCTTAATCGTTGCCTGCAATTTACTTGCTCCGGTCACAATCTTGCATAGATTCAAGTGGTCCAGACACTTTTTCGCATATAAGCCTGTTCACTTCCACAGAAGTTTGGTCAAACTTTCGATATTCATTCTGCTCCCTAGAATCTGAGGGGAAGCTCTCTGAAGCGGTAATTAAAAAACTCTCTGAAACCTTGTCAATCACTTTCCCAATGCTTCGGAAAAGTACAGCGTTCCAATGTTTTAACGCAGGCGATTCACCGTTCACCGTGCCAAATATTAAGCTATTAATGTGTTCTGCGAAAGCTGCAGCCTTCTTGTCATTAACAAGGACGAAATCCCACAACTCATGGTGGACATTGCAATCTTCTGATAAGTGCATAAATTTCGAACCTGAAGACATCTAGGATATACATGATTTCTTTACTAAAAAGAAGAAGACATCAAGAATTTCCCAATGACGATCCGCTAAAAGACTGTCGTCGAACTGTGGCGGTAAATGGCCGTAAATTAGAAGGTATAGGAATTTTTCATTTTGGAAAGAATTTTAAAAGAGAAGTACATATATTCCGAATCCTAATCCAATATGTAGGGTAAATCTGATGTGTTTTACTGGACAGAGTGGTGCAATAAGAATGTAAATCCCCCTAAACAGCTGTCCTCATATGTTATTTTGATCTTCTTTTTTGTATTTTTACTTAGTTTCTTGGAATTTCTTATCAGCGTCCTAGAAATTTTATCTGAAGCAATTGTTACGAAATTTATGAGTCTTTCCCAATGTGCTTCTCCCGTTAGTGGTCTATTGATGGAGAATTTCCCCCTTTCGATTGTTTCAAAATTAAATGAGAAGAATAATTCATACATAAACAATTATTAAAATAAATGTATACTTACATACGATGGCAAGCTGTGGCGGCTGCTAAATTCAATACAGGAAATACATAAATTATAAAACGCAGCTCCTTATGAGGTAGTATGGAGTAAATTACAACAAAGCCAATAGTAGCCAAAACAATCGGTCGGACTCTTCTCTCCAAAACGAAGCCAATTGGTACAAATAATAATGATGTAGCCATAGCTCTTGGCAAAGCTGAATAAAAATACCATAAAAATGGTGAAGTCTAATGGATAATGCAGGTTAAGGAAACCATAAACAATTGTGTAGTATATAAGCATAAATATCAGTAATAATAACTAAAAAACTAAAAACTAACTAAAATATATGTCAAGTAGTTATCCAAATGAAAACATAGCCTAAGGGCTCTGTTATTCATTTAGACTCATAACAAATTTATAAATGTTGATCGGTAGGAAGGAATTTCAATAGGGAAGAAATTCTTTTGCTTCCTTCCTCTCTACCAAAATATTATTTCTTCCTTTACGAAAATATTGAAATTTACTACATGTTTGAAAAAGGATACACCCCAATTGGAGCTTTTATTTAATATGGTGTTATACCATAACACTTCACCCTCCGGCCAAACTAAACGTTGCCAAAAGAACGAGTCCACAACAATCGAAATGGCAAGTATTACAATGGCAGTTGGTATGGCAATTTTTAAAATCCTTGAAAACAAAAATTAGAGAAAAATTATTAAAAATATAATAAATCTCAAATTCCACCAACCACTTACCTGGGTATTGTCACCTTCTTAAATAAGACCTTAATTAAAAGCAACAGGCCCAAAAATATAAGTAATTCCGAACGGAATATTAATATGGCAATGCCGGAACATATAATGAATGGTTTCATCTGATCATTGAACCAATAGGCCAATGCATAGAGTACTGCAAATAAAAAACAATTATTTATATTGTGTATATAAATGGGGATCATACTTACCCAATGGTAGTGCCATAATATTGGGCAATGTCCGAGACATATAAAAGATGAAATGAAATTGCGTTAGTGTGATAAGACTAAACCAAAGACTAACATCGGAACCATAGATTTTGGTAATGACACGTTTTAATTTGGTCCATGCACATGTCACAACAGCTGCCAAAACAAGACGAACTGAAAGAAAATGTATGAAAATTATATTAAAATTGAGGTCTGATAAAAAAAGAACCGTTGTGATCTAAAAATAATCCTTCAAAGTAATCAAAGGAGGATGGGATGTCCTCAGATATAATATATTTAAGCCAGCGTTTTCCAATCCTCAAAACACTTCCTTTTGGTATAGCCAACAGCTCCTGTATCGATTTTTCTTTTATTTCATCAGCGGGTATAAGGCCAGTGAAGGAATCCTGGGAATACGGTTGTTGACGAATGATAACAGTTGGGTCAAATATCACAACCGGTATGGTGGACCAAGGATCTTTCATCTCTACGAAGAGTCACAGGATCAATATATCAAAGCTTAATACGGAATGACATGCAATATGTTGACAATTTCAATAGGCTTATGAATGATATTAATAAAATTAAACGCTAAGTCTTGGTTTTGCTTTGGTATATCGTAAAAAAGGGAAATCGAAATATTAACAGCGGGAAAGCGAAAAATATTGGAATGGTAATAGAACCGTAAAATCTATCTGGCTGGTAATCTCTAAGCGTATATCTAAAATATAGGGATCATCATCGGTAATTGCAGAATCAGTTTTCAAAATGGGTAATTAATGAGTTGGAATTCTGCCCTCTATGCGAGTATTAAGGGGAGACGGAAACGATCGAAAATCTATTCTGTCCATGTCCCATGCTTCGAAACAGAAGACATCAAATGTTTGAAAGAACGTTTTTACAGTATTTTAGGATGATCACAATGGACTAAATGTTTCTGAGTGGAGCGACTATCTCTTGGCACATTCTCTAACCAAATGTAACTTTCCACCCGATGTGACCTTAATCTGTCCTCCGGGTTTTTATACGCTTCACCACACTTTGGTACAGGGTATTATGTCTTTGTGCATATTTTTGTAACAGGCAAAAGGAAACGAGATAGATAGATACATGGTTCCTTTTGAGAATATGCCTAGAATCACTTTCTGAGTCGATTTATGTAATTCCGTCCGTCTGTTGGTTTTAAATTGTAAACAAAGTACAGGTCGCAATTATGATCCGAATTGGATGAAATTTGACACAGCTCATCTATTTGGCCCAAGGACGAACCCTATTAAATTGGGAAAAATTGGTTCAGATTAAGATATAGCTCCCATATATATTTTCGTCCAATTTAATGTAAATGGTGTACCAAAGTCCATATATATATTTGGATTGGCATGAAACTTGGCATAGCGTACTGCATAATGTCTAGAATGATGTGTGTTAAGTTTCGTGAAAATCGGTTCAGATTTGGATATAGCTTACATATATTTTTTCGTCCAATTTAATGTATAAGGTGTACCAAACTCTTTGCAATTGCAGACATATATTCTATGTATATTTCGAACGGGTGTCCGATTGGGATTAAATTTTGAACAGAGCGGCGTACCGAATGACTTATATCTTGTTTGCTTTATATCGATTAGTCCCATTGTACGCAAACGACTCTAAATCTGCCCGATTGAAATGAAATTTTGCATAGGTTGCAGGATGATATGTGTATGGATGGATGTTAGTCGGTTCACTTATAGATAAATATCACATATTTAAGTTCGTCCGACTTTACTATTTTCCTTACTGGTTAATTATGGGGGAAACTTTTTCGAAAAACATATAAATACCTAGCAGAATTTTTCATCTGATTGCCTGTACTTCGGCCACGCCAAACATAATAATCGCGAATAGTTTTGAAATTAGTCATTGTGGCAAAAATTACAACGATAAAGCATTCCTTCAATCTTCCTTTGGAAACTATGAATTTTTCCATTCTTTTAAAATTTTTCTTTGGTAAAACATTTGTTAATTTAAAGCAGTCGATTTTCAGGACTTCGAGAATTTTATCAATTTTAAATCAGGGCTTCAACCGCCTTATTTTAATACCCATATTGACTTAGAAAATTGTAAAACTGAGGGTTTAATTGGAACTTCGTAAGTTAATACTTAATAACTGTGATGAAAATAGGACCATGGGCTAAAGTTGTATTTAAAAACAATCTTATATTATTTTCTACCACATGTTGCAGTGCTATATATACATACACATATGTCTTACCTATATACAGAGACCAATATTTGCTGATATGCAACGTTTCGAAAAGTAAAATGAATGGTGATGAGAGTATTGATATGAATAAGGGACCCAAAAATGTACGCGGCACAACTCCAGGGAATTCATGGTGATCATACTGTAAGGGGAGAAAAGAAATTATTAAAATGTTTTGTATTAACTTTCAAAACAAACGATTTCTACAGACCTCAGTGAAATTATGACGCAAATACAAAATGTCATGTATGGCCTGTAGATTGAAACTCTCCTCCACTTTGGTAAAGGGGGTATATACAATGTGGGCTGCCGCTGTTATAAATAGTAACAAATCCATGATGCGTATGATGCGGATGTGTAATTCCAAAATAATTCCGATTTTAATTCAATTAATTTGTTTAATTCAAACGTATAGAAAATTACATAATTTCGTTTTTTGTTGAATAGATTTTCCACAATTTCCGAAATAGTATTAAAAAAGAAAATGTGTCCACGACAATTTTCTTCAAACGCCAGAGACAAGTAAAACTGTTGTGGTCTTCTGTTTTTGCGAGAATGTGTCAGTCCAAAATAAGCAAAAGCAAAAAAAAATAGGAAAAACAAACGCACTCGATGATGAACGACTAATGTGCTAGAATTTGGTGGGAGAATATTAGACGGTTCTTCTTCTCTTTTCCGTTTTTTGATAGCGTAGCGTAATAATGACACCTATGCGGGTGACCTGTTGACAAAGATCGGCTGCAACAACAACAACAATAGAAACCGGCAAAATCTTGGCAGCGATATATGTTTGGCTTTTTTTGTATCAAGGTGTATACGTGTGTCGCTTAAGTTGTTTTGTACCCTCGTCGAGGAAAATGAATAAACACTTGTTGACACCACCGACCCACGAGATAAACAATTGGAACCAATAGCAAATAAGCACAACAAATACTAGATTACAACAATTATGATTTGCTCGCAGTTACTTTCTTCAAAAATGTTCTACCGCAGTGCTCTTCTCCTGTGGCTAAAATTAGATTGCCACGAATCTTAGCGTATTCACGTAGCAGATTGTTGTCAGTTTGTGATAACAGCAGTATTTTACTAATTAATGGATTTATTGAAATTGAAATTATTTTGTTAATACAAATTTTATGTTTTATTTGTAAATTCTTTAAAACAATTCAATATTTATTTAATTATTGCTTCCATCTGTTCTAAACAAAAACAATGTTTACAAAACGTGTCTAACAAAATGGCAACGCTAACAAAATAGAAAATCAGCTGTTAGTCAAGTGAAGCACAGTGGGATGTAGAGTTCATTTCAATTAGATGTTTAATTTTAAATTAAAATATGTGAAAAAACAGGAATATTGGAAATTAATAATAGCCCTGTTACTTATCGAAATTATTTTTTTTATTTCAAAGATTTGAAAATGGTTTGAGCATGGGAAAAGACCATGGTATAATTATTACAATGTAGGGCACAGTCATGGTACAATAATACAAGGTAGGGCAGCTTGAGTTCAATAACAAAAACGCAACAATGTAGGTGGTGGCTTCTTCTGCCAAATATAAAATAAATATTCGCTACAAGTGGTTGGGATTAGTAGACATTTTTTCAACACATAACTAAAAATGCGAAAAATGAATGAAAGGCATGGTACAATTATAAAAGGTAAAACGTAATACTAGTGTCAATATGAATTTGACAAATTATGTTTTTAATAATCACCCAACAGGAAAATTGGGAACGCATACAATTTGAAATGGTTCTTTATATACTCCCGTATTCAATTTACTCAATCTGCCTGCTGGGAAAGTTTGAGGAAGCAAATCTTTCTTCTTTGAATAACTCCAAAATCCAGAAGGGAATACCATGAAATATTTGTTTCGCCCATAATAAAGTAATTACTTCCAGACGGACGCATTAAAACCGTCATTTTCATTTTAATTAAATTTGAATATATTTTAAATTTATTTGACATAGTATTCAAAACAATGCACACATACACAAAATATGTATTTTGATTTGATGAAACAAGCCACCTTAAGAAAAAACTTTAATCAGTTGGTAGCTGTGCCCTACCTTGTAATAATTATACCAGGGGCACAGCAACCAACTTATTAAAATTTTTCCTCAAGAGTTAACTTATTTTCAGGATTTCGTAAATATAAAGTGCGTATGTAAATGCGCTAATAGCATCTATGGAGGGCCATTAAAATGGAATCTAACGAAATCAAATATGTGATCTACATAGATATTTGAACCAATTTAAATCAACTTACACATACCATTCTGAAAGCTATAAAACGGCATGTACATTAGAACTTTTTACTGGGTTAACCTACATTATGAGGATTTTTTGGCATATCTGCAAAGGAATTGCCAATTGAAACCAACTGGGTTGACGAAATACGGTTAAATGTAAACGTACAAACACATTGCATATCAATCGGACAGAGTTGGTTTTTTTTTATGAAATATACATTATAGATATATGTAGGTTTCCGTCCACTCGGAAACTATGTCCATTGTGATCACCCTTTATGTATATGTGTACCTATAAAGAAAAAGAAAAGAAATAGTGGAAGTGTAGGGAGAAAAAATAGTGAGATATATGTAAATCTGGACGTATTTTAGCAAGCGTATCATCCAGCATTTTGTATGCAGCAGCACAGGACGATGTCCAAAATTTATCTCGATGAGAGAAACGTTTATTATTTCGTGTTCAATTTCAATGAATTCAGACGAAAATATAGAGCAGTAATGTCTGGATCTGAATATAATTTACAAAATCCAATACACGTTATCCTAGTTTCAATTTGTCACGTTGTGCATAAATTCATCCCAATCGGACAAATTTTAGTTCTTTAGTCATTTGGGTGAAATCCATGGTATAATAATAGAAGGTAACAGCAAGTGTTGTTGTACAAAAAACGATACAACAACCACATGGAAATTTGTTGTTGTAAGTTCTACTAGTGTCAACTCATTTGACAGAAAAATGTAAACAAACAAAAAAATTATCATCAAATTATTTTTATTTTGAAAATGAAATATTTTTGAATCCTCAAAATCAAAAATTGAAAAACATGAATTAAAATCTATAAAATGTATATTTCTATCGCTTCCACATCTTTCCTATAATTGAGCCATTGCCATATATATGTGTACCACATATGCAAATGCTGGGAATAGCGAGTTGTTCCTTGAAGAAAGATTTGCTTCCTCAAACTTTCCCAGCAGGCAGATTGAGTAAATTAAATACGGGAGGACATTTAATACAGAACAAATTCGAATTGAATGCGTTCCCAATTTTCCTGTTGGGTGATTTTTAAAAACATAATTTGTCAAATTCATATTGACACTAGTATTACGTTGGAATCAAATCAGCTGGGATTTGCTGTTACCTTTTATAATTGTACCATGGGTGAAATCGGATGAAATACATATGGAAACTATATCTAAACATGAACGCAATTTCAATCCAACACGCTAGGCAATATTTACTGTTAAGCAAAAAAACATAGGCTCCTCGATGCACCATATGCATAGAAGAAAAATATATGTGGGAGCTACATCTAAATATGAACCGATTTCAACAAAACTTAACACATGTCATTATAGATTCAATTCAATATATGTACTAAACCAAATATTCTGTGAACCGAAAAGTATCTAAGTGGCACCATTTACATAAAATCGAACGAAAATATATATGGGAGCTATATCTATATGAAACATTAACATCATTCTAAATCAAACAAACGTAGACTCTTCGGAGCACCATTAATATCAAATTGGACGAAAATATATGTGGGAGATATATCAAAATTTTAACCCTAATACACAGCATTCTACACTCAATTCGTTACGCTATGTAATATTGCGTCTCAATCGGACAAATATTGGTAGTTTGATAAATCTGAACCGATATCAACAAAACTCCTCGTACCTCAGTGTGCTCTAATTTCACTACGCTGTGCAAAAATTTTTTTATCGGACAAACCTTGGGGTTTGGTGCACCATTTACATAAAATCGGACGAAAATATGTATGGGAGCTATATCAAAATCTGGGTCGGTTTTCTAAAATTTTAAAAGGGTTCGTCCTTGGACCAAATTACAGCCTGTTTTTGTAAATGTAAAATCACCATTCGTTCGTTGAAAAAAAAATGAACAATTACTTATTATGGTTTTTGCAAACAAATAACGAGTTGTAGTAAGTGAGAAATAGAAAAGAGCTTTTGGTATTCGTATTTTTGTTTTGTTTTTGTAATACAAAACGGTGCGTTATTACAAAAACAAATTATAAAACCAGGCTGTTAGTGGGCTGTGCCAAACTTCATCTCATTCGCATAAGAAATGCGACCTATACATTACTAAAATTTAATATGGACAGACGGACGGACTGATGGGCATGCAAAAATCGACTCAGAAAGTGATTCTATGCATATTCTCAAAAGGAACCATGGGCCTAACTCGTTTTCTTTTGTCTGTTACAAACATATGCACAAATACATAATACTCTGTACCACAATATGGTCATGGTTAAAAATTGCAGATAATGGTTTAAAATAATTATTTTAGTTAGTTAAAACGCTCAGAATATTAATGTTTCAGCATAACATACACTTTCACTTAAGCATCACCTTATACAGTTTGCCACGCGTTGCCAACAATATTTAACTTGTTAGTGAACACAGCTGCCGTCAATTGGTAAAGGAAATACTAGCTACTCGTCACAAGATGTCGCTCTGCAAAGAATTTCGTTAAAATAGGAGTAAAGGAAAATTTACATTCGATTCGTTTATTTTGAATGTGGTTCTAGTCCATTTTTCCATATATTTAGATATTTGAAGTTTTAAGTTTGATTTGTTTCGAATAATAATAAAGTAGGAACATTGTAATAGTCATTTTCGGTAAATATATTTTAAATAACTGGTGGCATTGTGTTGTAAATGATCAACCCATTCGAGGTTTCAGTAAGATAATTTGCGTGTATATTGCTCACGAACCCTGGAAAATGGTTGATAGACCGACGAAACGATAACTGATCCAAATTTGAACCGATATCAAGCGCCTAGTCTGCTATAATTGCACTACGCTGTGCAAAATTGTTTTTCAATCGGACAAACCATAATATTTTTCTCACCATCAGTGTCTACTTCTTCAGCATGTCTTGCACGCCATACATACATACAAGTCGAGGATTAAACCAAAAGAGCTCACTATGTCGGGAGTTAATATTAACAACGGCCAAAAGAGCTATCGTAAGTGGATGAAATTGTGTACAAGTGCATATTATTGGCTTAAAGAGCAAGGGACAAAAAATTGGATAGATCGGGCCAAGATTTGGTGTA